TATTTTTTCACTAAATGATCCAAACCCCACCCCTCCACAGGATCAACGGTGATGGACCACTCGATCAAGCACCCATATTGACCGTCAACATCCCCACCTGGAACAACCCTGACCGTTGATACATATGACTTGAACCCAATGTGACTTTCCACAATCTCATAGCTTAAACTATGGTCAGCATCATCAACGGCTACCAATCTTTCCTTGGACCAGCTGACGGCCATATGATCACCCTTCGATGGGATTGAGGACCCGGAGCAGTATCTGATGCAGCCAGGCGCACCGTTGGCCCCTTGGACGCTATAGCAATTGGCTAGGGTTGGAAACAACTGGTGGAAGTTGAAGAAGTCTTTGAGCAGAGGCCAGATCTGGTCAACTCTGGCCTTTGTGAGCCTTGCAGAAACCGTGGCTTCCCATTTTGGCCCTGACTCTTGCCGATCCATGAAAACCTGAGAGGGAGAGAAAGTGATGTTGGAAAAGGGTAAATGAGGCACATGGACTTAAATGGACCACATGGATTTTGTTAGACTATACACATAGAAGATTGGTATGGTCCTGCGTAAAAATGGCATGTACAAATTTAATTATCTTTGCCCTTTCTCTATCACACAATTTGAGGAAGCAAATGCATTTAGGATAATGTGACAACGAAGGTAGATTACCTACAAAATATAGAATATGCAGAATCAAAGTTTGTGCCAGTACAAATGTATAATCAATTGATAAATCAAGTATTGATGTTGATGTTGTGGTATATTCTTGTTTTCACAATCATAGATGTCCTCTTTAGCCCACTCAACTCTTTAGCCCTTAGAGCATCTCCACCCACAAGGGCTAAGTCTAAGGCAAGGGCAAGCAAGGGCTGCCACTATTCACGTGAATAGTGTCAGCTTTGCATTTGTGGTTCCACCTATGAGGGCAAAGTCTAGGACAAGTCTAAGACAATTACTATTCATTATACTTTATTTCCTATTTTTTTATACTTTAAACCATTAATTTTGATAATCTTTTGTAATTAAATTTTTGGATAAAAAAATATTGGATGTAGAAGAATTGAATGAAGATTTGGTGTGGAAAGTGAATAATGTGAGTGGAGACTAAAAAATATTGGATAAAGAAGAATTGTATGAAGATTTGGTGTGGAAAGTAAATAAAATGGTTAGGTATTTTATAGGGAAAAAATACAGAATTTTTTGTTATTTTAAAAAAAAAATTTCAGAATTTTTTCGAATTTTTTTGCAATTTTTTAAGCCAAAAAAAGAGGACCGTCGGATTTCTGGAAAAAAAAAAACGATCGGAGCGTTCCTGTCGCGACACGTGGTACAACAGTAAAAAAAATTGAATTTCTGCGCGATGACGTCAGCATGACGTCAGCGCTGACGTCACAAAACTCGGGCTGAAGCCCAGGCAGAACTTGCCCTTGGGCCTGCCCGGGTTGGTGGGACCCAGGGCTTGCCCGGGCTGCAGTTGCTGCGCTGGAGTGCGAAACTGGGCTTTGGGGGGCCTTTTGCCCGGGTTATTGCATAGCGCTGGACATGCTCTTAGGTGTGCCTATAAAGGGAGGTTAGTAGACATTCCAATTATATGAGGATATTTCGGAAATAATATGGATGGATCACTGACCTGACAACCTAGCTAAACGGCATTGATCATCTTCGGGGAAAAAAAGGAAGGCAACTAGGCCTAGTCTTAACATTAGCGTTTCCCCCCTAAAGTTAGAAAAGGACAAAATTGTCATGAAAGTTTCGGACGTGAGATCACTGATCTACAAATAAAAGTATTTTTTTCACTGGCCTGTTGGCTTAGCTTTAGTTTTAATTCCACAACACACATGTTATTCTATATTAATTAAATGAAGAAACTCCAATAAAACAAGAAAGATAATATCAAAGTAGCTTTGTCCCGTTATTTGGATAGGCAAGCCTTTTCTTTTTCTCTTCCATTCAAAAACAATAAGGTCGAATCTTTTGTTGTCATCACTCAAATGCTTGAGTATATAAAATAAGATCAAAAACCTAAAAGAATACGATTCTTCAAAATCAAATAATCATAAACAGAAGTTTGGATCATCTTTGAACTTCCCAATTTGTAACTCATTTGGATGACGTTCTTCTTTCTTTGTTTCAGCTGCTGACCAGTCCGCATCTAAGTTATTTTCTGATGGAGGTTGATACATAACTAGTAATTCGACTGCCAGTGCCAACCTAACACAATTAGGGTTATTCAAAACAAAGATGGTCCCTTGTTACAGAGATGAATAAATTGTGTAACCACCAAAAACTTCCAAAAATTTTGTTTGCCACTTTGCCTTCTGAACCTGTCAAAGATGAATAAAATTCCAAACTTGTTCGACTTTAGGTCCACCGGTGACTAAACAAGTAAAAAACATTGGATCCTACTTGCTAGATTTCATCATGATCAAATCCAACACTTGAATAAAATAGTCCAAAGTATTTTGATTTGCCTCAACATTTTGGATTTTATATTTCAAAGTACGGGATAATGTAGGGCTAAAGGGTAGGCTTACACCTAACTAAAGTTTTGCTATTCATTTTTCACTTTCTACTCCTTTATCCCCCCACTATAATTAGTCCATTATTAATAGAACTATCTTTTTTCCCTTTTTTCTTTTCGGTTTATTGACTTATTTCACTTCCTTCTAATATAATATTGTAACCGTGCATACATGAGCTTAGTCAAGTTGACTAGAGCGGACGTACTCCCCACTTTGCTCCCAAGTTTGAATCCTCTTCTCGTAATTTAGATTAGTTGAAAGTAGATCATAAAAAAAATTGTAACCGTAGCTTAAAGCTAGACTTTGATATGAACGGCAAAGGTAGATCTAGAGGGCATACAAGATTGAAATCAATGGGGGCAGTCAGATGGATGTCAGTTATTTTGAGGGCATTAAAACTTAATTAAAAGTTGAAACGCACTAGTTTGTAGGGACAACGTATGCAAATTAACAAAGCATAAAAAACCCATTAACAAAAAAGAAAAAAGAGAAAGAGCAGCGCAAAACAAAAAGCAATCATTACGCATTGTATGTTACACTTATCAACATTAAGTATAAAAATACAGTCTTTAGACTTTAGTCACAAAAAGAAAAAAAATTAGTAGAACAAATAAAAATTTAGAAATTTATGGCCCCATTCTACCCTGTCTGGCTCTTTAAATATATTCCTACCTTCATCATTTCTTCTCTCACTCATAGAACCCATCTCTGTCTCTAAGTTTTTTCTAGCCTCTGAGTTCTATTAATCTCCTAGCCCAAGAAAATGGAGCCTCCTGCTACACCAATCATTGCCAAGAAACTGAGCAACATGGTACGTCTGATTTTGTTCACATTACAAAAGGGCGTGTCCAAAAAGAAGCTGATGATGATGAAGGAGCATGGAAAGATCTTAGGCAAGTCCTTCAATGATTTCATGGTTCGCCACCACACGGCGCTCAGCTGCAAGTCACATGACGTGCACGTATCCTTCGTGTACCCCCTCGAGTACGAGTTCAGCTGCAAAAGCAGCATCCCACCTTATAGATCATCCTACACTCCTCCCTGCCACGACAGCGGGCACAATAAGGGTTACGTTAGGCAGCGTTCGCGGAGGAGCGTTTACGTGCCGATGATGTGTGAGAATGTATTGGCGACGGTTAACACCGGCAGGAAAGTGAGCTTTCGCGGCAGCGATGTGGTGGAACCACTGCCGATGGTGAGGCGGGTGAGGATAACGGAGTGGGAGCCGTTGTTCCCGTTGAATATTGACGAGGAGGAGGAGGAGGAAGATTATCACGTGGACAAAGCAGCACAGGAATTTATTGACAAGTTTTATAGGGAGTTAATGTTGCAAAAATGGAGGGCCGTAGATTCCTCCCACTGATCTTAAACTGCTTTATTAGATTGTAACGGTGTGTAGCTTGTGAGTGTATTTAGTGAAGTAATTACAACCCGTGCATGCTTTCTTTCATGTTATTGTACAGTTAGGATTTAACCATCCTAATGCAAGACCTTTCTTTCATGTTATAGTACAGTTACCATTTAACCCTTTAACATGTCATCATAACATTGATTCGTTAAGTTAAGCTAACACATGGAGAATTATCCATCTTGAATACCAACGACATTACGTCCGGCAATCCGGCAATTGTGTCACATTCAATCGACTAATCATAATCAATGAATTTTAGCTTCCTACTACTCTGAAAGCAAATGAATCTAACTAGCTAGTAAGTATAATTTACGCGTCATCTAATTGGATCGTCTAAACCACAAGGCTTCCCATTAATAGCTTTGTTGGATATGAAAAAGAAGAATTAGGTGGCTGGTTGCCATTAGAAAGAATCAAAATTTGCATCTAATCAGTATATGATTCATAGAGGGGAAGAAGGAATGGAAAATAAAAGAATTTTTTGGGTACCTAATATTCAGAAGGCAACGTTGTTGTGTGATCCAGAATTTAAGTAGACCAATAAGAAAAATCTGAAAAAATAAAAATAAGTAAATAAGTCATTCGAATCCCCAAATATCACTGAAATAATTATATAAAATAAAAAATAAAAACACACACACACACACACAAACTGAGCGTGTTTATTTGTTCTGGGCCTGTAGTGGGCTAAAGCCTCGTAGAACTGAGCGTATTATCATTCGTTTTAAAATCCACGAGGAAAAAAAAAATGCAAGAAAATAATTTGAAAACACGCGCGCTTTCGTGGACAGGTATTTAAAACGAAAACGAAAGCCAGAGCGTCAGCCAACAGTCACTCTGAAAAGACATCGAAAAGAATAAGCTCTGTGAAACCGTACAAGCTCCGCGTAAGTATCTCTGCAATTCGACAATGGAGAATCGTGAGCCACGTGAACCTTGGGGTAATCGTTTCGTTGCTACAGTAGTGTTATGCTTCTTTATTTCTTACAGTTCTTAGCTGTTTGGTTTCTGAGAAAATGAGATCAATATCTGGCTTGATTTTCCTTCCATCGCTTAAATATATAACAGAAACCAGATATACTAATCTCTTCGGTCGCTTTTTGATCGCTCTGTCCGTTCGCTTTTGGATCGCTCTGTTCATTCGCTTTTCGATTGCTCTTCGATCTCTCTCTGTTAGTTCGCTTTTCAATATCTCTATTAATTCGATTTTCCATCTCTTTATTAGGTAGCTCTTCGATCTCTCCCGTTGGTCGCTATTCGATCGCTCTCTGATCTCTCCCTTCGTTCGCTCTTTGATTTCTCCCTTCGTTCGCTCTTTGATCTCTCCTTTCGATTGTTCTAGGATCTCTCCCTTCACACATAGCGCTTGGGTTTTGAGTTTTAATTTCTTTTTTCTTTTTAAATGTTCTGCTAAAAATGCTTCATGTTGACATAAGTTTTTCTCCCCTCTGTTTTCTGAATTTCTGTTGAAAGAAAAACTAAAGTCTGAGAACGTTGTGCATCTCCCTCATTTTCAC